CAAATCAACTTAAACCAAAATCAATAAATCCTAATTACATATAAGCTAGGCACCCTTTAGGGTAAAAATGATCTAAGTATAATTTTTTTTTTACTACTAATATTTTTTTTTATTATGATTTAACTAATATGTAATAACGCCGATTCAAAAAAGGTTTAATGGCGGGGACCTCATGGCCCCGTGGTCCACATTTTGTGAGCCCTACTTGCCATTAACGCCGATTCAGAGTATGTTAAGAAACAAATTAAACCCCTCGTAACTCAACCCGACACGATACGGATTGGCTAGTTTATAAATCTAAAAAGGATTTTTCAAGACCAACCTAATTAGGTTGAGTTAGTTCAACACTTTCCACCCAGCAGTCATCCAACCATCCCATGTGCATTTTTAACGTCACGATTTCATTCTTGCAAAAAGTAATATGTTTTGACATGGAAAAGTCAGTTGTGTCAATTTGGGAATAAATTGCGTTCTTCCAAATGAAATCTATTATTTGAGCAAGACACAAAGAGTAAGTTTTACATTCGACGTGTTTTCTTAGCTGAATTCCACCAAATCAAGGGATTTTTTTGGTTAATTTTTGTAAATTTTCAAAATTTTTAGGATAATGAGAATTCTCATTATCTTTTACCTTTTTATGTAGATTTCACATTTTGGTTTCTTATAAATGTAGGATTTTTAAAAGACATTGTCTTAGCATCAACAAGATGTTTGTAAATAATAATAATAATAATAATAATAATAATAATAATAATAATAATAATGAAATGACAACTAGGTTTAAGAAAATTAAAATTAAATTAAGAAAATTAAGATCAATTTAATATATTTAGAGTCCTTTTTGGACTTTTTTTAATTCTAGAAATTTTGACAACAATTTGAAATCCAGCTGACTAACTCCTCCTTATCCAATACCTTTTTCTCCAGGATTCAAATTATAAATTTAGGATTTTTAAAATACATTGTCTTAACAATATTTATAAATAATAATAATAATAATAATAATAATAATAATAATAAGAAAATTAACATCAACTTAACATATTTAGAGTCCTTTTTGGACCTTTTTAATTCTAGAAACTTTGCAATCTTTTTTTTTTAGAAAAATCGCATTAAAATAGAATTAACTTTCACTTAATTCTTATTTTTGGAAATCAATTTTCAAAATCGTCATTTAAGGGTTTCTATCAAACTTTTTGTTTATTTAAGGGTCTGGTTGATCTATTGAACAAGTAACAGGTAATTTAAGGGCCTCTATCAAACTTTTGGTTTGATTTGCCAAATTTGATTTAAATTTTAATACTGATACGGATTGGTTAGATATAAAAATTTTGAATGTGATATTTAATATTTATTTTTTTATTGCATCAATTAATTTTTTCTATTAAATTAATTTTTTATTCTATTAGTAAAAAATAATTTTTATTGTATTAATTTTGATTTTTTTTGAAAAAATCTTCAATTTGATATATGAATTAAAAAAAATGAGATTTGAAATGTAAAATAGATTTTATTGCATTAATTTTTGAAAAAAAAACGAATTTTAGTTATTTTTCTATAATTATTTTGCAAGTTGGTTCCCTAAAATAGGAATCAGGTGCAAGTTGGTCCCCCAAAATGACGATTTTGATAGTTGGTTCTCCAAAAAAAGAATCAGGTGAAAGTTGGTTCTATTTTTGTGCAATTTTCTCTTTTTATTTTATTACAATCTATATGTTAAAAATTAAAATCTCTAAAAAAAATTACACTCATCTCCTATAGACGCTATATTTCAACATTCTTCATACTATTAGATAAATTTAACATATGCTTCTCACTTAAGGGCCGTTTACTAAATATTTACCCGGTAGGTGTTTATCGGTAAAATTTAACACTATTATTTACTTATCGGGTAAGATTTTTGTACACCAAAATGACATCGTATGCAACAATTTACCCGGTAAGCACTTAGCGTTGTAAGAATCGTCGCCCTTACTTACCTGGTAAGACTCTTCGTTCTTGTCTCGCTCTTACCGGGTAAGATTTTTGGTCATTACCATATTCATCCGGTGAGGTAATGTCACTTGGTAAACGCTTACACGAGTAACTATTACCTGTTTTAAAAATCTTTAATGTAAATTCTAAAACACCTAATAACCTACTACTATTTTTTTTATTAACCTAGATATTTAACCTGCTATACGAGCTGATTAATCTCAGGTGATCACCTGCTTTGCAGGTAGCTCGAAGTCACCACATTTGAATCTTCGTGGTCACAAGACGATTTTTATTTCTTATTGAAGTTGAACCTGAAACCTCCAGACACTTTTGGCCTTTGAAGCCAAAAACTCAAACCAATCAAACATGTTCCTGAAAGGTAAAAATAGATGACGTGCTACTTTTATTAATGAAATCACTTCACATGGGTATTGATTATTGTTTAAAATATATTTGTTATCGAAGCAAAAATTATAATTATTAAAGCAAAATGCAAATTTTAAATAATTACGTCAAACTTGTACCACAATATAAAAATCTATAATGAATAATGATGTTGAGTTTTTTTCCAATACAAATTTACTCAAATAATCATATTTCACAACTAAATTTAAAAATATAAAACGACTTTCAAAATCTCCACTTTAGCTAAAGGTAGTAATAAAACCTCTAATCTCTCGAAAAGCAACATTTACATGACCATCTTAACCACTTTACATTTTCGTTATAAATTTGATTCTAAGAGGCTATATGACAATTGTTGAATGGTTTGGTACAAAATGATTAAATTGTCAAAATGATAAAGATGTTTTTATGATATAGTGCAAAATAAAATATATTTGTTCGGTAATTGTTCATAATGAAATAGGTTGCTGAATGGTTCAGGCAGGCAGGCAGGCTTAAGATACAAAATTAGAGGGTTCTAAAAAGGTTAAAAAAACAGACATTTTTTTACCAAACAAGATTTAACTCTTAATAATTTTCAAATAATAAAACCATTAAAAAAATATTTAATAGGGGTAACCATAAACAATATATTTTGTAGGGGTGTTCAAAAAAACCGTTGGACCGCTCAAACCGGCCGAACCAAGTCAGACCGAACCGTTTTTGGCGGTTTGAGCGGTCTGACGGTTTGGTTTGGTTTGGTTTGGAAAATAGTAAAACCGGGCGGTTCGGTCCGATCTGCGGTTTGGAACATTTTTTGGGCGGTTTGGACCAAACCGACCGCCATATATATATGTTTTTTTTTAATATTAGCAAGTTCAACTTTTTTAACTTATGGACTATAGTTCAAATATATCCCTAAGCCCAACATAAAGTCTAACATCTAACATAATCAAAATGGATATTTAATATAAAATTATAAATTATATATGTTTTTTTTAGTTTAACATTTAAAGTCCATCAAAGCCCAAACCGCCTAAACCGATCAAACCAGACCGCCTTTTCATGGTCTGGTTTGACTGGTCTGGACACTTGATGTCAAACCACTCGGTTTGAAAATTTTATAAACCACCATTACAATTTAGTTTGTGGTCTGAGAGGTTAAACCGGCCAAACCGGACTGCGAACACCCCTAATATTTTGGGGTTGATATTCATACCCCTGACATCATTTTCTACACCCCTCCTCTCACAAACTCACTCCCTCACATACTCACCCCCTCTCACATTCAACAAATTTTTTTAAAATAATAATTTTAAATTTACATTTTATACCCCTATAATTAATTAATTAATTTACTTTACGTCCTTTACTTTTAAAATTTTCATTTTACACATTTATCAAATTAACATACATAATTGTATATTAATTAAAACATGTTTAAAAAATACATTTTTATTTTAACAAGTTA